CGCGGGTTGCTTGCGGAGGAAGAGGACGGGGAGCATGACCACGATGGGCAGAGTGTGACGAGTGAGGACGATGTGGTTGTTGTGCAGCCTGGCAAAGGCAAACGTCGGGGACGGGAAAGCCTGAGCAGCGCGAAGATCCTTGGCAAGGACGAGCTCACTCGCCAGACGAAAGAAATCCTACGCGACAAGGAGAACATCCATGTGCGAAGGGTGCGTCGTGTTCGTTCTTCTCTCTCACTATGCTCACGCGACTCTTAGAGTTTAATAAATAACGAAATCGCGGAAATAACGAGCAAGATTGCTGCGTTGGATGGCATCAGGGCGAAGCTGGAGCAAAATCTGCTCAAGCTCCATGAAGACGAGCTGGAATTGGAAGATGAGCGTGCGTGAGGCTTTCGATTGCTTTCCATGGCGCTAAACTGCTCCCAGTCGTGGGAGTCAAAGAGAGGTTAGAGTACGAGCAATCGCAACAGCGTGCTCAGCAACAACATTCTGCCCTCCCAGCACATCCAAACCACGCGTCTCGACGCAGGAAGGGTGAGATCCGAACGCTCCCTCGTCAGGGTAATACTGACGAACGCAGGCCCTGCCTTCTTGCCATCTGAACATGATGAGCTCCCGCCCGGCGTTGCGTTTATGGTAAGCCGCCAGTCACATTTATACACTAATCTGACTTCGTGGTCAGACCCTGGAAGGTCACTCAACCCCAATAACAGCGCTCGATCTCTCGGAGCCCTATGGCACCCTTGTCAGCGCGTCGCAGGACGACTCTCAGCCCCGTGTCTGGGATCTGTTCTCTGGGACTGAAATCGGTCGCTTACGAGGGCACACTGATGCGGTCAAATGCCTTCAGGTCGAAGATACAACCTGTCTGACTGGAGGCGCCGACGGAAATGTGCGATTGTGGGATCTGCGTAAGGTGGACACCGACGGCTGGAGCGACGAGGGCGAGCTGGTGACGTTGAGTGAAATTGCCGAAGAGGAGGAGGAAGATGCCTCTGGGTTCCAGCGCGACCCTGATGGGTCGGAGACCAGCCGGATCCGAGGGCCGGCCAATGGCGGCGAACGAGATGGTTGCTGCACACGGGTGTTGGAAGGCCATACGAAATCGGTGACGGCGCTGTACTTCGAGGATGACTGTCTTGTCACCGGCGCTTCGGATAAGACACTTAGGCAGTGGGATCTCACCACCGGCCAGTGTGTGATGACGATGGACATTCTTTGGGCCATGTCGCATCCTCCGAGGGCACCCGGTGGACTACCCACCGGGCTTTTCTCGGATATAGCTCCCTCTGTCGGGACCTTTGCCGTGCCGATGCCAGCGTTCGCGGATGGGACATGGGAAATGTACGAAGACTTTGTTGGCGGCGTGCAGTTCTGGGGCTATGGACTGGTCAGTGGCAGTGGTGATGGGGCCGTCAGAATGTGGGACAGTGCGTGTCTTTCACCGTCTGTATTCTTGCATCTGACGAGACCCAGTGCGAACCGGACAAGCTCATCGGACTCTTCTCGGTCACACCGGTGCAGTGACTTGTCTACAGTTCGATGAGATCCACATTGCCAGCGGCAGTCTGGACAAGACCGTTCAAGTCTGGGATCTGCGGACTGGTGGGACCTTGGAAACTCTGAAGTACGACCATGCCGTCACGGCACTCCAGTTCGACACACGGAAGATCGTGGCTGCAAGTGGGGAAAACGGAATCAAGGTGTATAACCGAACGAGCCAGCAGTATTCGACCTTGCAGACAAATGGGCATCTGCGACCTGTAGAACGACTGCGATATATGGACCGGTACATGGTCTCTGGAGGACGGGATGCCACAGTCAAAATCTGGTCTTTATAGAGGACAATCTAAGTACCATACAAAATCGTAATACGTGCCAGAAAACAATACAAATCTTGGTGTCCACCAGGATCTAAAGAAGAATTGTGTGGTTCGAGGTTTTGCAGGGGCCACAAACTCGAGCAGTAGATTCACAAGGACGCAAATACAATATATCCGGAGTAAAGAAATATACAGTGATCTTACAAAAGTTGAGTCCTCTACCATGTTGTCTTGACCGCCTGAGGGGCAGACGACTGCAAGGATAACGCATGAATGAGCCAACAAGTCCAGGATACCAAGATTGGTCGCTCACTTCAGAGACTTCTACTGGCGCTTCATCAACAAAGTCTGGAACTTTGTTCAAATCAGCAAGGTAGGAAGTGCCCTCTTCTTCTTCTTCCAAAGCCAGCGCATCCAGTTCTGGAGTGGCCGTTAATGACCAGACTTGCATTGGATTCACAAGGTCGCACCAGCTTCAAGGTCTGCTTCATCAATCTCGTCCGGAACAGCATACGAACGACCCATCATCTCTTGAATCTCGTTGCTCTGTTCGAGTAAATCCTCCATGTCATAATGCATCGCCTGAATGGGTCAATTATCGTCATCACTGTGGTAGCAAGCAAACAGACCTCGATTTTGTCAATATCAATCTTTCCATACTGTTTCTTCATCTCCTTGTTTGCCACCTGCATGGCATCGAAAGTAGCCATGGTATTGCGCAGGTTCTCCGTCGTTAGCGCTGCAGACTCCATATTGAACGTCTGCTGCGCGAGCTGGGCGAGTTGGGATTCGTACATGCGCTTCTGCCTGAGCGTGCGGATTGCGCGCTGTTGGACCGCGTCCTGTTTAAACAGCAAAGAGAGTTGCGGGATCACGGTAGTCAGCCATCTAGACACGATGAATGTGGGGGATCGGCGGCACCTTTCCTGGCCCGTTCCGCAATTTAGTCATCTGTTCTTTGTATCTGCCAAGTTCTCCGTCTAGCTTCTTCACTTTGACCTCGATCGCAGCAATTCTAACATCGGTCTGGATCCAGTTTCAATCCAAGAGGGAGAGCAGGCTCGATGAAGGCGACGGACCGCCGCGATAGCATCTTGTAAGGTAGGCTTGGGTTTCTTGCTCGCTGAAGAGCCGAAAATGCGATTCATGACGGGTATGGAGGCTGCGGGACGAGGAAGAAGAGGTGCCTTGGCGGCAGAGGACAGTGCTTGTGTCGATCACTTGATGCCATCATCGAATTTCCGTCCTCCTCCGCTCCTGCCATCCGCACCCTGTGGGTCCAAGACTAGCAAGTGATCCAGTCTTGCTATCTTCAACATTGCCCGAAGAATCCGGCTTGATTAAACGACATGGCTTCGTCTGAGGCTGGGCCGGTCAAACAAAAAGTGGGCTCTACATCCCAGCTCTTGGCTACCTAAGTAAACCTGTTCTTCTGCCCAGCTATCTATCTATCCTGCTGCCGAAGAAGAGATACTACTCCTCAACACTCCTTCCGACCTCGAGCTCAAAATTGGCGAGACCAGGAGAGCAGTTGCGGGAACACTGCGCGAGGCGCACTCGAGTGTGCAAGGGCTAGTCAGTCAATGGATTGGGATTGAAGGACAAGTCGAGGGTGCGCTTGTTGCATCACCCTATCTATACTCTCGTTTGACTTGATTTCTCCAACCTACAGCTCGGCTGAAATCTCTGCACGCTCCCAATGAAACTCTCACTCCCGGCGCGCTCTACGCCGCCACTGCCCTTCTCGCGGGCACCATCCTCACGCGGCACCGCGCATTCCCCCTGCGCTTCCTGACCCCACCGATCTTCGGTGCCGTGGCCTTCGCGCACTTCCTCCCCCAGACGTCAGCCAACATCCGCGCGTACGCTTCCGACCTAGAGGACGCGCACATGCCGGAGGTGGCGCGCTTCCACGAGACGGGCAAATCGCATGCGATGATGGGGTGGGAGAGGCTCAAGGAGGGCTCGCTGAAGGGGAAGGACAAGGCGGGCGAGAGCGTGCTCGGTGCCCTGGAGAAGCTCCAGGAGCTCACGGGTCTGAAGGTGACTGAAGCATTGGGTGTCGTGAGGGAGATGGAGAAGAAAGCCGAGGGTGTGGTTGAGGAAGTCGTTGGTGATGTGTTGGAAAAGAAGGAGAGCGTGCAAGAGAAGGTCGATGAGAAGGTGCAGGAAAAACTTGTTTAGATTCAGGTTCTCTGAAATACAGGAAATACCGCTTTACTGCACCTCTCCAGCTTGGAATCAAGGTGCCTGTCACTCCAAGCCGAGGCGCCAGAGCTCCGTATTTTACCATCTCCGTTTCCAGCTCACCAGGCGATTCGAATCGACATTTGCGCACGAGAACCAGTCGCTGCATCTTGGAGCTGCCTAAAGCAAACTATGCGCCGATGCATGCTCTGAATGAATGCGGAACTTTCGTCCCGAGTGCATCGGAGCAGAACCAGGTGCCTAGACACGCGACGGACGTTGAAATATGCGAATATGCTCGGGAGTGAATTCATTTGATTTCCATGGCTTGACGCCATCCTTTAACCAACAAGTATATTCAATCTCCTTGACCTCTGGTCCCCCAGGATTCTCCAGACTGATTAATACAGCGGATGGGAGTGAAGAGCTGATGGAAGCTGCTTTTCCAGTACATTGGTGAGCATATTCCAGAAAATGCTACGTTCCAGTTGTGTTCTGACCTAGAAACCCCTTCGCAGTCGGGACTTTGTACTAGCGACAGACCTAAAAGTTCTTTTCGCATTGCCCATTCCACAGGAACAGAGATGTTTTCCTTCTTGTGCGCGCAAGACAGTGGGCATAGGCAACACGTTACACCTCAATTACTGTAGCGGTGCTACTCCCACCCATGCCAATAAGACATGGTGCGTAACGGGTGATGAAGCATGGCTCGACGATCTGGGAGCCGTATACAAAGCCTGCACGGATAAGGTTGCTAGTACCATTCCTTCACAGCGACACATCGTCTGACGTGGTCCATGCGGATAGCACGGCAAGTTTTGTCTATTTTCGGCGGTGATGGCGAAAGGCAAGAGGCTGGGGACGACGACGACTCTGAGGCTGCCGAGCCATCGAAGTAGACCGCCCGCACGCAGTAGAAATTTGAATGTAACGTGTTGATCTATCGAAAGCTGTTATCTTCCCTGCTTTGAGTGCCTCACTATCCCAACGATCTGCAGAAACGAGTGGGCTTTATTTCTTCTCATTACGTCCTACGACAACGGTAATACAATATCATGACAATCATAACACAACAACAAGCTTAGGCCGAGGTGAACTGCAGAAAAGCGTCAGCAAGCGCGACGACGGCGAGACACAAGAAAGGACGCACGTAGGCACAGTCATCAAGCATACCGTGCTGGGCAATCGGGACAATGGCCGGAACGTGGTTGGCAGAGGTGTTGATGGAGCAGATGCGGTAAGAACCAGCGGGGACACCGGCGGTGACGGCGGCGGTGGCAATGCCGTTGGCGTCGGCCGGGGCATCGATACCCTTGAAGAACACGAACTTGGTCGGGTCAGTCGGGGTGGTCTGGCCGAGCGCGGACAGGGCCTCAATCACGACGTGGGTGTGCCCGATGATCTGGCCCTGCGCATTCAGCTTCTGGGGCGCCATGAAGTAGGTGAACGCGGCGTTGGTGAAGACACCGGTCTGGATGTTCTTCAGCGCGAGCTGGACGTTGAATGCCTGGTTGGCGGTGACCGTGCCCTGGTTCGGCGGAAAGACGAACTTGGCGGACGGCATCTTGTCCTTGGCCGGGATCTGACCCATCGGGATCGGGTTGCACGACCCGGTGGTCACTTGCTGACCGTTGGTGATGGGCAGGTTCGAGATGGTCGCGGCACAGAAGTTGATGAAGTTGCTGTTGGGCGGCGTCAGAACCAACGATCGTCCCGTGTATAAAAATTCCGACGCACTTGGGGCTGGTGTCTGAGGCAGTCTGTCCGGCCACAGGCGGGTTCTGGCCATTCTGCGTGCAGTTCGTGCAGACAACGGACGGGTCAAGAGCTAAAGCGCATGAATACGGATATAAAGTGAGTTTCATGATCGTTACTCACTGAGCGAAGCTTGGATCCCACCAGCAGCAGAGTTATCCGTAGCCGAGGTTACGGCGGGAGGAGCAGCCGCTGCGGTGGTTGCGGGAGGAGGAGGAGCAGCCGCCGTGCTGGTCGCGGGAGGAGGAGGAGCAGCCGCCGTGCTAGCCGGGGGAGGGGGAGGGGCCGCCGCACCCGCCGAAGCACCCGTCGCAGCGATACGGGCATCGAAATCGGCCTGGGTGTCGCAAGTGATGGATGTTCCAGCAGAGTTGACCAGAGGAAGGGCAAAGCACCTGGAGCGATGTGGCATCAGAACGCATCCTGTGGCGTAGCGCGAGACTGATCCTCACTGGGTGGTCGCGGCACAAGGCTGGAGAACGAACTTCCCGCCGACACACTGCGCGACCTGGCCCGTCACACAGGCATCCTCACCTTCCGTGCAAGGGCTGTTTGCCGTCAGGGCGGCGAACTTGGCGTTCAAGGCAATAGCGGCTTCTCCATTTGCTTTAGCATCGACGCGACGGTCGAGACGAGCAGGGCGGGCAAGGGCAGCAGATGCGAAAACAAGGGCGACGAAGGTGGAACGCATTGTTGTGAGATGAAAGGAATGTAGAGTTGGTCGAAGGAAAAGACACCAGGTCAATAGTTAGAAGAAGGAAAAAGCAGAACGATCTCGAATCGTGCAAGAAAGAAAGAGGGCAAAGGAAGGTGAACCATCGAAACGATTGCCTCAACCAGGTTCATATACTTATGATCTTTGAACCAAAAAAAGGAATGCAACACCGTCGAAATGATCTGATGCAAATGATGCACTGGCAAGTGGTCGCGTCCCGCGAGGCCCCGGCTACTCCCATTGAGACAGTCCAAACTAGTGCAAGTCAGGAACCGAAATGGCCATTTTTCAGTCTAAAACATCGCGCAAATGAGGCCGAAAACGCTAAATCTCTGGCTGAGACAGTGCTAAGTGTGGGTGCAGCCCACACACTTTCTCGTAGTTGCCGTCCTCCTTGAGACCCAGATGCAAGGCCAAAATTAAGTCATTCACTCACCGTGATAAGTTAGGTCTTGTGGAATATACCTCAGGCTGAGAGGGACAAAATCGGACAGAACTTTGCTCAAAACGCCATAGAAAAAGTTCCATTCTTATCCAATTTTGGGTGCTATAATACAAATCAATACTCACACAGCCGATTTCGAAGTGCAAATAAGCTGTTGGGCTAGACTGACCTAACAGGAAGTAACTGGGGGCCTGGCAGGGGCAACGGTGTGCTGAACTGCTGTGCAAGATCCATGTGTGGTAGTGAGGTACTGTATAACATCGGGTACCGGGCCACCTTAACGTTTTTGGCCTGGTGCTCGATACTGATACATAAAATTGGGTGGCCTATGTATTCTAATCTATGGGCAAGGATCCTATCTAAGACCTCTAGATTGTACAATAGCTGGTTGCTGCTTGTACCGAGCTCTGGAGGTCATATGGTCAGGTTGATCCAAATCAGGAAAGTATTGTCATCCGGGCCACCTCGCCCTCAGTGCAATGAGCATAGGGTGACGAATACACACCTGGCAGATGAACGATGGAACCCCACCCAATCGTCCTACCAAGTCCTAGCGCGACCCCTTGAGCCATTCTTACATATGAGCCCACTCCTCCAGCTGCCATTCCCATCCTCAATGACTGTTTTAATGTGTTTCCTGCTGGTATGCAGGAGTGATGGTCTTTCGGGAGGCTAGATGTGCTCTTATTCAAAGGATAGCTCGAATAGATTCTGTAAGTGTCCATGGTTGACGTCAGGTCCAACAAATACAAGTGTTCGGGCCTCAGAACACAAGAATTCACACGACATTGGTGGGAACACAGATTCGGACCGCAATCCCGAACGAGTCAATGGATCAGTCAACTTCAAAATTGGTACTCAGACGCTCTGAGGGTATTAGTCCCTTGAACAAATATGAAAAACTCGAAATATAGTACTGTTAGAGCGTAGGGGGCAAATGTCCCATTTCCTGATTCGGCCCACATGGTGATATCATACAGTAGGGGACATCCATTCCCCGTTGATGTCATGTAGTGATTTCTATATCGGGTCATTGAGAGTGACAAAGGCCTCAAATGATAAGTATGATGGATAGATAGATAGATAGATAGATGAATGGATGGATGGATGGATGGATCCACCGCATACGAGAGGTACACGTACATCAAAAAGGGGCCACGCATGGTGAAACCGGTTGCAGCTGAATAGATGAGGGACAGCAGGTATCGAAGCCTGGAGAATTTGTCTGACATCAACCCTCATCAGCCCCGGTAAATGCATGCGACGCTCAGGCGGGGTTGACCAAGGGATTCTGTTCTGACCCAAGTGGACTGTATCACCAATTCGGTCGCATTCGCAAGGGAGGCACATGTCATCCTGAGATGTCAGTACAACACGGATGAAGGCGCACGTTGAAATATTTTTGGTGTGCCATTCCAGCGCTGGAGCTGTACAATTCAGTGGAAATCTCTCATTTCGACCTCCGCTGAGTTACCGGGGACAATTTCGACAGAAAAAATCGATTTGTGTGTGCAGAATCGTTAAACCCAGGAATTCATCCTCGGAAAGCATTTGCGGACGGAGGATTGAACGTTTCAAGTTACCTGGAACAGTGGCAGAAGTCGAAACGACTCCAGCCAACATAATAGACCCATGATTTATGACTCTCGCCTTACCTGCTGACCGGCCGCTGGACCATTAATAGGGGGTGAGGGCACATGCAATCAAACTTGAACAACTTCGTGAGGAAACACGTCTTCGCGCATATTTCCCCTGCCGTGGTTCAGTAGATGCGCAACAGATCGAGGATCGCAGATAACAGCGTTAGTGCCGAAGAGCGCAGAACGCCGTTGGAAGACCGAAGACGCTACTGAGCCGTGCGCTTGGGCCCACCCTCTCAGATGGTGGCTTGGATCGGGAATTTCATAAATGTACGCGGATAAAGCGCGCATAGGAGCAACGTGGATTTCCGGATGTTGGCGAATTTTTTCGAAGCATTTTTAGACTAGCTCAAGTGCCACCACCACCTGGGGCCCTTCTTAAGACGGGCTTCAGATTAGAGACAAACCCGTCTTAAGACGGCTCTCTAACTAGAGGCCAGATTTGGCCCATAGATTTCCTATCATTTCCACAGTATCCCGTCATGAGAGAATAAGATTGCCATCAACCACGTTGCCCAGCGCTTCTCCTCGCTGTCTGCAACGACGACCGCGAACCCTGAAGGCAAGGTGTGTGATACAATCAAAATTCATCATTATCATCACCGCTGGCTCATCGGCTGTGCGGCAAGGCATTTTCGTCATACGCCAACCCTAACCCTATTGCAGGTGACAGGTCCCAAGCTTCGCCTCCATTTACCATCGCATTATGGGATATACGTATAGTATGTGTATGTAGCGAATGTAATCCAAACGCGAGCCCAACAAATGAGTAGTAAAATATCTGCATGTCCGAATGGTAGAAATGTATGTGCGTGTGTCCGAATGGTAAAGGTACTAGATTCCACCCTCCGCCAAAGCCGCAGCAGCCCGTTGTGAGTCCTCCGCAAACTGAGGAACGGGATCATCCTCCTCCAATTCCCCTTCGCCTTCTGCCTCCTCTAACACTGTCCGCAAGCATTCAGGTGTGATCTTCTGGCGCGCTAAAGCGATCCAATCTGGCACGTCCTTCCACATCTCCGCGAAACGTTCCTGGAGCTTGGAGCGAAGGACAGACTGCGTGTAAGCATATGAAAGCAATCCTTCGCGCTGGATGCTGTTTGACGATGCCGGTACTCCTGCGGCAAGATCGGCCCACCAATTCGCCTGCCACCCCAGAAACTCAATAACCCGGCGCATCTCCTCCTCCACAAGCTCGACCTCCTCGATGTGACGACATGCACGCGCCCGAGCCCTTGCCCATTCCACCTTCAAAGACTCCACCATTCCATCACCCTCGTCCTCATTTCCAATCTGGACTCTCCAGATCCAAGACGCAGGGCGCTTATCGTTCCGCTCCGTCTCGTTGAGGTCGGCATTGCGCTTGCGCTTCTTTGACTTCCGTCGTTCGGGATCAGCATAAGTGGCTCGAGGGCGTCCGCGGATGTCGTCGGCCAATAGAGGACGAAGGCGCATAGCCCAACTCTTCTCCTTCAATCGAGGGCCAAGCACTGATAGGGCATTATGGGCTGCCCGATACTGAGCGGCTACGCGTCGAATCCGAGCTTCTGTATTCTGGATCGATGTGTTGGACTTGGTGTTTTCGGCGATGCCCCGCGCATTAACGTTCTTGTATCGGAATTGGTGGGTGCGAACCAGGAGGAGACGTCGAAGCTCCGCAAGAGCCTCGTCTGCTTGACCCACACGGATCTCGAACTCGTACCGCATGAAGGATTCGGGAACAACGGTCGCAGCGAGTTGGCTCAGTGGATCCTTGCAATTGAGCAGGCGCGATGGAAGGTGAAGACGTAGTTCATGAACGGGAATCACTGGCACTGGGGCTGTGCCAGCTGCAGAGATACACTCTTGCTCTTCCATAGCGCGCCAACCCGCGAGCGAGGGCAAGAATGACTCCATCATTGTCGTCCATCCAGCAACCTTCCTCCGTAGCTTGTTGCTTCGTTCATGTAACACCGCTCGCTGTCTGTCTGTGGGATGTCGTCCAAGTGCAGTGAAGTCCGCTGCAAGATTCCGCTGCTCCTGCTCAATCTGCAGTGCTAGGACGATGACTGAGAGGATGTGTCGATTCCCGCTGATGTTGGCCCCAGTTCCGGCTACAACTTCCTTCGCAACCGACTCGGCCAGGCGTCCTCGAATAGCATAGACGCTCTCTTGCCCCTTGGGTAGGGCAAACGGGTTCAGTTTCTTTGTATCGAGTTCCCATGCAGTCATCTCAGCCAACCACACGGACAGATCATCAGCGTGTATTCCAGCTTCCGATCTTGTCAATTCCACTTGGAACTCCACCATCCCCTTGATTCCCCGCGTCATCTTCTCCAACAAGGTGGTGCCCGTCCCGAGGACCTTCTTGTGATTCCAGTCGTTGAAATGGTCGTCGATGGTGTCTTGCCTTGCTCCTGGCCCCATTTCCTTTGTGCTTGTGGCCAACGGGTTTGCGTTTGCCCACCCACGCTCCGGGGCTTCTCCATCCGTGAGACCGACAAGTGGCGTGAGATTGAAGGAGTATAGAACGTTGCACTCCTCGATATGAGCGGGAAGATGGAACTTGGGTATCAGCCACTTGTAGCGTCGATGAAAACCTGCGTCCTGCAGGTTCTTTGTGTAGAGTGCCAGCCGATTCCAAACATTCTTGTGCCACTGGCAAGCAATGTCATACGAGACGACGATGTCCCGCAATGGCCGGTAGTCCTCGAGACCCTTCCATAATATGAAGTCCATATTGATGTATCTGGCACTTCGCATGAGTGACTGAATCAGTATTGCGAGTATGGGAAAACACACCTTTCTCCCTTCTGCAGATCACCCACAGACAGAGGCCGCTTCATGTTATGCCGAGCACAATCAACGGTTCCAATGCCCGAAGATGCCGTGCCTCGGACTTCTCGATCTGGGTCATCCACTGCGTTGTGGCCGACACATGTGCTCTTCTGTGAGGCACAATCAGTACAGTAGCAGGCAACAAACAAGTCCACTGACCTCCTGCTCAATGTCCCAGAACTTCTTGACGTGCGTCATGTACTCGACCAATGGTGGATAGAACGCGATGCCATCGCCCAGCGCCGGATCCTTCGTTTCGGAAGACACGATCTTCCT